TTGCTCAGACTTAGCTGTCTTGATTGAAGCTTGCATTGACCGCGTGATGTCTCCAGGGATTACAAATGGGTGCATGTACGTAGCTGGTCGTACAGCTTCCCAGCTGCATTCGATTGTGCGACCCCTGAGGTACGCATCGTCTAGTTGGACAGGGTATTTGTCTATCATGCCCGCCACAGCTCTGACATTCTCTGTGTTGCGAGCCCAAACGACAAACTCGTCAAGCTGTACGGTAAGATCGCTAGGGTATTTGTGCACGGCGAGACGAGTATGAACTGAGGTAAGCTTTGTCTGTCTTAGCTGCTTCGGATTTGATCGTTGTCTCCCTCGGGTCTTCGGCTTTGGGACGTTTATGATATCCACTTGCCGCGTAGGCATCGCTGGGTCGGTAGTTAAATGTACAGCAGATTCACCAACCTCACAATTTTCGACTTTATTGTAATCAACTGCATTCTCGTAATCATCTGCATTCTTGTTATCAGCTTCATCTGTGATGGACACCGGCGATTGTGCCTTGCTCACGATTATGGGCTTCCGTGACATTTCTATAGCTTTCTGCGTTGATGGGACGTCCTCACAGTCGCTGCTACCGTCAGTGTTAGCATCCATATTTTGTAGCCCCTCCATAATACTAGCAGTGACCACTGCATTTTCAAAATCAAACAAAGAATCCATGTCTTCATCAACGTCTTCATCGTTGTTGTTGTCTCTACACGGAGTCGAAGCCACTTTCCTCCCTCGTAATCCAACTTCAACGGTTTCTTTCCAATCTTGAAGCTCTCGATAAAAATCAGCACTGGCCAATTCGGACAGATGCTGGAGCAGTGGCTCTAGCATTGCCTTTGCTTACGAGTACTTTTCACCAGATGTCAGAACAACTTGGTTTGCACGTTCGTCCCGGCGCAATTGAACAAATACGACCTCTTTCTCACTATCGGATGCCGCATGTGATTGTTTCCATTCGAAAGGACGTGAATCTTCGTACACGTTCGGCAATCTTATCGGTCTCGGTAACCTTAACTTTGACATATTGACAATTGGTTGAAGCGCATCGGCTGCTAAACAGAGCTCTTCTTTGGTGTCCAACGCGTCGAAAGTACTCCATCGTTCGTGGACAGAGATTCCAGGTAGCACATTGAAACCATGGCCATGGCTGGCAACATGCATGAGATGACAGCACGGTAAGTGGTGGCTTGTATAAAATAAGCAGGTACAGGTCCACTCAACGTCGTCACACTCGTATTTGTGATGACCTCCATAAACATCTCATTTCAAAACGAAAACTTTGCGCTCGCAATTTGTGCTTTCAGCTCGGTTCACAAATTTTTCCCATTCTCTTTTCACCAGATCCAACACAAACGGAGAGAGCCTCCTTGATATGGCCCTTAAAAATGTAGGAACCGTCTTGGGCAATCGAGAGGAAGAATGCTGTTTCCCGATTTCAGATGTAATCTGCCGCGTGATGATCATCTGGTGCTGGAGTAAACCCGCCAACGTCTTGTCAATTCTGGTCTTGAGGCCAAGAAGCATCTTCAAGTATTTCCAGTTACACTCGATCCTGTTAGTTGTCGTATTACCAGCAGTAAATTGTTTTTCGCGTTCATAGTTCGACCACATTTGTCGACACGAATGCCAATTTTTCTCAAAATACGCAAAGAAGTTGCTCCTCCTTGACGTTTTGCAGAATTTCTTCATTGCATCATATGCAGATACATACGCGTCTTGTGTGCGGCTGCCAGTAACCACAACAAATGAGTGAAAAGGCAAAAGAGAAATTTGCTGACTGTAACGCACCAATACAGCATCTTCGTCAGCAACTCGATAAGTTCTTCTCTCTGTGCCATCTTGAGCTCAAATACTTTGCGTTTCATCACTTTTTTCCCGTATGTAATGGCGTGGAATTGACAGAGTAGCACCTGGGCGGTTGGAAAGCACTCCTCTAGCACTTGCCACTCTACAAAATCTTTGTCGATAACCACACTCGTGACGTCTTTCCACTTTGGATTTTTGTCCTTGAAATATTCCAAGATCGTTTTAATCGTGACAGCGTTCTCACTGAGGCAAATAAAGTCAACCACTGGGAACCCTCTACCCGAACACGTAGTGACAACCAAGCTCCCTACACAACAGTAGCAACCTCAAGGTTGTTGTAAAAAATTAAGGTTGTGCTTAAGGTTGCTATTAACATAAGGTTGCTTTTCTGAACGTACCTAAATGGTAGCCAAGATTGTTCGTTCCGTGCGTGAAGTCCATCGTCAAGGTTTCACCCCACCGCTCAAACATCATCGTTTGCACTTTCGTTTGCATGATGGCTTCACAGGTGATGTCCATCTGGTCCTGGATAACGACCACATCGCTACCTTCAATCTGTCGAAGAGCATGCAGCAAGTCTTTCATACGATCCTGAGCGGAATCTGGCCCCATGATACTTCGGAGAAGATTTCTGGTTTGCTGTGGTGTCACTTTACAATCTTTACAGCGGAAGACATTGCATACCAGTCGGTTAGATTGAATATTACCACCCATAATAAAAAATGAACAACTAACCAATGCGGTCGTTCAAGAAATTGGTGATGTGGGTAGAAGAAACACGCGCATCTGCCAATGTTTTCACATCCTCCAGATCTTGTTCGTCCAGCGGCAGCGTCGCCGTTGTCAAGTAGCTTGAAGCTTGTGTTCTGCTGTTGTCGTGCGAGTGGGTATGGTTCTGAAACAGCAACAAGTTTATAGATGTCAGCCGGATTCTTTATCACGCACACATTAATAATAAGTCTCGAACCTGGTTTCGTAGCACGATTTCGTAGTGATTGCCCGAAACGCGACTCACGGTGGCCGTTAACCGTTCTGTGCATTTGCAGTACCGCTGCTTTCGATTGCGATGCCCCTTGGACCTTGATTTTTGGGATACACCGTGAGTGCACCGGTAGATTCTTTCCGAATACTCAAACGAAGTAGGGATTTGTGCTTGATGCGCGCTATATTAAAACAAAATAAGAGCATTCCTTTTCATGAATATATTTAGACAGATCACACCAGTAAAACAAGCGTACGTGTTGTAAGATCGCAGCGCTTCGGAGCTCCGCACACGAAACTTAA